GTCTAAGTAGGCCACTGCAAATTCACAACGAAATGTTCTCAAGATCCCGATGTCACACTGGGGGATTGGCGGCGAATGCCACATATGGGACTGCCGTTAAACGGCAGCTCGTAATTGAAATTAAAGGTCATCTTTATTAAACCTGTTCTGATGAGGTGGCAGATGCCTTATTCCACCGATAAATGCCCAGAGCTGATCTGCAACGAAAGATTTTGACTTTGAGCTGTTTGGCTGGTGTGAGACACGCTTTAAATTATTAACACTTATACTACCTGCAGTTTCAACTTGCCCTACATGAATTATGAATATGCAGCAAGCATGAGAGTGTAGCAAAGCCACGGTCTCCAGCCTGCTTTGTGACAGCTGTTATGAGAAACACAGACACAGAAATTAAATTAAATTTCCCTGAAAATAAGGAAAACGAGCATCAATTCTTTCGATTCAAATGAAACCATTGAAGCAGCACTTGTCTTAAATTGCGGACAGAACGTTCCAAGGCAGGACAAAGCCCGGGCGTACGAACTCACCCTGGCGCGTTTCACACAAAAGACTGATCCGAAGATCCAGTGTAAAATGACAATAAACTGCGGGAGAGAAGAACACAACTTCCATTTGGATGGACAGAACAAAAGGTTTTAATGTGCCAAGATCAGCAATTTGTGTAACTCCATTGAGCTCTGAACCTCCCTGTCATTCATTTAATGCAGGAGGAACTATAGCAGAGGCCTCTGTCATTAGCACTCACAGCTGTCCCTCTGACCACACACACGCGCCTGATGCTGACATTGTCTAAAGTTACAATAAAAAACACTTAGCCCTAGAAGAAAGGATGACAAACGTGGACAAAAAGCCAAGCGCAATAATTAGCTGCAAGCTCTGATAACTGTAATCTGCATCACTCTCAACAGACAGTCTGGCCCCTTTCCTTAAAAAGACGCATTTATCTTGCTGTTTAAAATGATACAGGAAAGTAGCCAGATTTAATTAGAAGGATAATCAAGGGATTAATTAGAAAGAGAGAGTAAGAGAGGGAGAGAGAAAGAGATAGACTTAGAAGAAGAAAATAAGTGATCAGTAAAGGTAAAAGTGAAAAAAACAACAACAACAACTAATTAAGTCAACTTAAAATTTATAATACAAAGTAACAGAATGTCCCCAGCTATTCTAATTCATTAGAAATATTTAAATTATCTATATTATTATTATTATTATTAAAAATATTATTAATTATCCAAGTGTACCACCTTTATAATGCATGAATTATCATATGAAAACAAACTAAAATGTCTCTTTTTAGTTCAAAGCAAGAATAGAATTTCCAACCGTTTACCCATACGGATTTTTTCTTAGTTCAAGATTTATAAGCCATTAACCGAACCTAAACCCAATATAACCAATTAACCCAATATAAATCAAAATACTATATAAACTATACTGTATACTATTGGTTTAAAGATACTTATTGCGTATAGATTTGCTTGTTTTGATTATCTGATTTGGTGAGATTTATTTATTTATTTATTATTATTATTTATTTTGTTTGTTTTGTTTTAAAAAACAGGAGTATTGAAGTTTTTCACAAAGTATTCCACTGTTAAACAATTCTTCTTCTGTTTTTTTCAATAATTATAATTATTGAACCATCATCCTCGTAGCTCACAGTGGATCTTTAAAGGTTTATGTTCTCTTTAAATATCAATTCCTCTATGGAGAAAATGAATGGGATTTTTACACCCCATCTGTTATGCAATATAAAGAGGACAGCCATATGGAATTATGGGTAAGGGTCAAAAGCAGGGCTGTGCAAAAAATCGAATGCGATTTTCATGCGCATCTCGTCAGTAAAGCCGCTTCTGGTGATTAGTAGTTAATCTCCAGCACGTGCATTCAGATGGAGCGGCATTTACTACACAGAGCCGTAGTTCACTGACAAGCTACACAAAATCGCGTACAAAATCGGCAATGAATCGCCTCCATCTGAAAGCATGTGCTGGAGATTTACTACTAATCACAGGAGCGGCTTTACTGACGAGATTCGCATGAAAATCGCATTCGATTTTTTGCCCAGCCCTAGTCAAAAGTGACACTTTGTAATTAAAAATAAAAATGACAAAGTAAGATCAGTCCACTGTAGTGGATGTCATGTATCAGACGGCTCATACCTAGATATCAACAGGCCTGATATGACGGGAAGCATGATCAGTGCTGAACTTACAGCTGACCTCAGCAATGACTCAATGTGGAGGACTATGGGATCTCGAACCCCAACACAACCTGAGCTCTGTTCAACCAATCTGCCATAATCACACACATAACCCAAACCTCCTCCGCTCCCAAACACTATCATTCCCTGCCTCCAATCCCCTCTTATTCCCTCTATCCATCTCTTTCTCTCTCTGCCTTTAAGGCTGGACCAGCAGGAGATTATCGACCTACTGTTCTTGTTTTTCTGCTCCTCCTTCCTGCAGGGAATTTGTATGACTGTGTGTGCTCATGATTGTTCTAGCATACACTAAACTTGGAATGTTGCAAGTTAATCCAAAAATTATTTAAAAAAAATCATGTTCAAGTTTACTAAACCTATAATTTTCCTTGTGTATACAGTTAATTCAGTCACAGGTGTATCATGTTGAATTTCCAAGCAGCCCCCAAGCTTTATCATAACAGAGACCACAGTAACACCTCATAAAGGTGACACAAACAAAAAAAGATAAGTGTGTGAGAGAGGGAGTTTAAGGTACATGTAAGAGAAAGTGGTAAATGTTTTAAGTGATACAGGTTTGGTGTGTGTGCGCACAAGCATGGAGCAGATGCACCAGGCCCGACCGCAGAAACAGTCATGAGAATTTCTGCATTTTGTTATCAGTCATAAATATTAATGCGGACATCTCAACCACAGAGCTAGAGACAAACTGTGAGAGTGGGAGAGACTGAGACTGAAAGAAACAAGCCAAAAAAAATGGCATGTCTCTCTGTTATTCATAGCAAAACAAACAAAAAAGTGTAAACACAGAGAAGAAAACCAAGTCTGAGTGAGATCTGAATTTGTGCAAATATATTAAAACTATCAGAGCATTAAAACAGTTCACTGAGTCAATGATTTGAGGTTTATTCAACGAAAGATTAATCAGAATTATTCAAACGGACGACCTGCGAACCATTCTGTGATTCATTAAAAACTGGATGAAAGATTTATTCGTAAATCAGACTACACTAGTCACACTTACGTCCAGGCATGAGGATGACACAATCTTGCCATTATTTTACATCACATTCATTCAAGATCACAACTGAGGTAAAATATAATTTGGTTTGTTGTGGTTATGTAGATTCAGCAGTGGTGCTAGTGATGCAAAAAGCACTGTGTTACATCACAGATCATTAAATTTTAAAGCAAACTGGAATAAATCGTTCAGAGTGCACATGTGTGCTGTAGTGGGGGCAGAATAACAGGTGGGACAAGAGAATGCATGTTCACTAAATAGCTTCAAAATATATGCACGATTCCCCAGTAGATGTGATCCCCTGATGTTTGGGACTAAACGGAAACCAGACGACAACTCTCTAACTGGGCTAATAGGCTAATTGCAACAGGGTGCGATTATTCACTTGCAGAGCACCACAGGTCCAGCTCTAGTATTTATTCACGTCAAAGAAAACATCTTTCCTTTCCCATAAGACTTGAGTCGATGATCATGGCCTAGTTTTAAACCACACTTTCAATTGGTCTTAAATTATGTTTACAGCATAGATAAAGTTGGAGAGAGTGACCTAAAACAGTCTAGATTCTAGTTTAACATCTGTATTGATGTCAACACAGTGAATTTGAATTGTCGCAAAATCTGCGTGGCAAAATCTTTTGCCCTCACGTGAAATTCCTAGATTTTGTCTGCGAAAATACACCTAACTGTACATGTGAACCTATTTTAGCTGAGTTATTAACAGACAGGGTGTCACAAACTTAACTATCCATTAGTAACTTTTGCAGACTAGGCAATTTAAAAGCTGTGTCCAGCTAATGTGATTGTCTAGCTCCACCTAAGCTGTGCTTCAAATCCCAGGATGCCATCCACTGACCCTTACTGCTAGTGAAGTGAATTTTACTGAATGAGATTTCAGATTTATAGCCATTGCTATAAATGTTGACATTGGCTGAGTATCCACTTTCAGGTCTGAGTGTGGCATTACAGCAGCTTTGTATTGAAGTAGAGGGATTTGTGGGTAAAAACGTCATCTTGAATTTGCCATAATATTCAAACAAAGTATTGGGATACTTAAAGTGTTTGTAAGTATGTGTGTGTGAGAGAGAGCTAGAAGCTTTAAATCCTGCTAAGTGCAGTCAGGAGTGTTCAAGGTTATAGAAAAGAGGGGAGAACCTCATCTAGGGGTCAGAGGTCAAAGGTTAAAACACCTAATAGTCACATAAATAACCTTTTAAGTGTTATTTTGATTTAATGCAGCAGATATTATATTTTCACCGAATGATAAACAGTGTATACCACAACACAGGCGGCATAAAACACTGTGTTGGGTAATATGAAAAGCATTATTTATGTCACAAAAATAAATGCCTGAGCTGCAAACCTGATGACAGGTTATCTGCGTAAGGGTGTTTTTACAGCACTAAGTGCATGCAGTGTTTTTCTGATTTTGAGATTTACAAGCTTCAGTAGTGCTAAAGATATCCGAGACAAGAGCCAGATCTACTCCATTACACCGATTGGGCCATTTTGAGCCAGCATATCCTGATGTGTAAATTAAGTGTGCATTTTTGGACACACACAATGTGTGAAAGTCCAAACCACCAATCCATCACATGTCATTGTTTATAATGTAAAATGTTCCTCCCTCTCTTTGGCTGTCCAAGCGCACCTCTCAGGCTGTAATTACAGTAAGTGAAACCCTTAAATTCTGGTATAATTTCATCTCTCCTTTTTTCCCAGCTTCCACGTGCTGCGTAAATCGTGATGCATTTTGGGCAAATGATAACAGTGACTCACCTGTGACTCTGACATCACATACAAGAAGTGCTGATCTGAAGAGAAGGCCATGTCTCGCAGGATCTGCCCATTGTCGACAACTTGGATGGTTTCATACTGTAAAGCGCCATAGGTAGGACCATCTACTCGAATCTGAAAGGAGAGAGAATAAATTGTGTTACTCCACCATTAATAAGCTACTAAAGTGAAAAGAGACAGAACTAAAGAGTCAGAGTAAAGCAGAGGGGAAGGGGGAAAGAGTTGTTAAGTTGTTAGACAGCTGTAGGGGATGTTACGTGCCATAAATTGCAGGTTCAGCAGAGAGCTGTAACATCCTCACACAGTTGGACTGCAGTGATGGAGGTCTCATGACTATATCTGAACATCTGTTGTTGTTGAGGCAAAAGTGCACACTCACACTCTGTTCCAGTCTTGATATAACTCTAACCTCCCTTCAGACTACATCTTCCAACCAAACACTCACTAAAGGGCCCTGTGAGAACTTAAGTCTTTATACCTGCCATTAATACAATGCACCTGATAACCCATTACGACAGAATGAATCAGCAATTTCCTTTCCCTTTTTGACACTAAACAGTTTAGGAGGTATCAAGTCCATTCCCATTGGAATCAACCACTTTATCTCTGCGTTTATGGCCTGGAGTACCATCAGACCACAAGTCCTGTCAACCTAAGATCATCTTACCACAAGAGACGTCTAAAATAATTTTGTGCCACCACTTCAAAAAGTCCCTCCCTGAGTTTCGGTGATGATTCAAGTGTTTTGGCTTTGCGCTCACTTTCTCTGGGGCTTTTCATGTTTTGTATGCTGAGGGTCACAAACAAAAACCAAAAAAAAGGTTGAACAAAAAAAAAGAGAACAGAAGGAAAGGGGCGGAAGAAAGCAAAAACCCTTCACACGAGCCAAAGCCTTATTCAGCAAGAGTGTTATCTAATCTCCCCGATCGAGGGCTGGTTAATTTGGCTGGGATTGGGTTTCGGCCAGGAAGAGCTGCAGTGTTTGGGATGGCAGCGTATGGACAATGAAAGAATGAACTGCGGGAGGTTTTGCGAAGCCCTGGTCGAGTCCTGAGAGAGATACATGGAGTGGTCCAACAGATCACTGGAGGGACCGGGTGAAGCAGATGGGCATTATCACAACTGTAGCTAAACAAATTAGCCACAAGGGATGGCTACATGGAGATGCTATAGGGCTGAGGGAGAAATAAAAGGAGAGTATCTGATCACAGAGAGAGGAAAATAAAAACATGGATAAATCAACATGCTAATAAACACGACAAAATACACTATCAGACGCCAGAGTGATGTAGGACTATTGAGAGTCCCACTTTAAACTCAAGCAGCAAGTACATCAGGTTTTATCAATGTATGAACAATATTGGTTTTATGAAAAATTTTTCCCCTCATGATTATAAACTGGTGAATTCCTAAGTCTTGAAGAAAACAACAATTTTCTCACTTTCATTTCAATATCAATAAAGTGGATTGTATTCTTTAAAGCGGTGGTTGATTGCGATTTCACTTTTTTAACGTTAGTTAGTGTGTAATGTTGCTGTTTGAGCATAAACAATATCTGCAAAGTTACGAAGCTGAAAGTTCAGTGTAAACGGAGATATCGTCTTTTAAAATTCTGGCAGTTTAATGCCTACAAAAACGGCTGGTAGGGACTACAACAAGTTACTTCCCGGGTTACTAGACGCGCACTAGATGGCGGTTTAGCCACACTGGGCTGGCTAACCAATCAGAGCCCATCGCCTATTTCTGAGGGCGGGGCTTCATAAAAGCAGGAAATGATCAGCGCGTTTCTCAGAGAAGGGACAGAGCAGTGTGGAATAAAAGTAAATTATCTGAGAAATAATGTGCTTTTTTTTTTAAACAAAGCATTAACACATGTTAGACGGCACCCCATAAACACAATCAAGCCTAGAAAAAAAAAACAGAGAACCACCCCTTTAAAACCTGATTGGATTACACTGCTAATCTGTGTATCATACAATCATTTGGATTTAATTCCAATTCAAAGCCACGACTGATACCATTTCAACAGTTATTTCACCTTCAATGTCACACTTTCTGTTTGTGTTTGCAATATCTCTGATTTTAATATAAATACAGATTAAATTAAAATAACCTTTCTACATTGCATTACAATAACAACTGTTTGCAGTGTACTCTTAGAATAGGAGAGCTCTTTAATTTCAGAGTAAGTAAGCCTGCACACTTCTGCTCTGTGTATTGTGTTCTGTGGGACCTCAGGTGTACAGCCAATGCTCATTTTCAAAGCATCCCCCTAGTGGTCATGGACTGTAACAACAATGGCCATTCATGTGAGACACACTATGTGAGGTTACACAGTAAATGACTAGTGATTAAATGTGGTCAAGGCTAAATTACAAACATTGATGTTTAATAGCTCTTATTCATCATTTACACCAAGGTCATTGTATTATGCAATAAAAGTGCTTTTAGTTTTTTTTTTTCATTTTTTTAATTCAGTATAAAAATGAAAAAGGATGATTAAGTTAATGTCACAGCATTTCTCATTTGTGATATAGAGCAGAGGTTAAAGCATCACACTGTCAAAGGGCAGCAGAGATGTTCACAAGTCTTTAACTTGGAGTCTGAGTCAAGTCTGAAGTCTTTAATCTGGAGTCCAAGTCAAGTCTCAAGTCATTTAATGGCTCACTAAAAAAATCCCATTAAGAATCCTCATGTACTGAAATCTTCCTATTTATGAAGCTGTTTTATATAGGCTAGAGACAAAATACATGATCTATGATCTGCTTTGTACAAAAAAAAGAGGTGTTAAGATGTAAGGTTAATGTACAGCCTGTTACCAATGTTTTAATCCATTACCATGTTCAAAACAGTTTTTCTGTAATCAAATTCTATAATAAGAGAACAATCTACCATGACACAAAAGGAAATATTTGACACGGATATTACAAAACCATACAAATAAAGTAATTCTTTATGATATAAGTCAGGGGTATTCAATTAAAGTTCCAATTGGCGCGGCCTCTATATTTTTTTCCAAGCAAAGGTCTGGACAAAAAATAAATAAATAAAAAACCCAATACATTTTTACATGTATTCTATTTTTACATTTAGATCAGGGGCGTTTCCTCCGAGGAGGCAAGGGAGGCAGTGTCTCCTTTCCTCAAAAGTGGATGAGAAAATAATCAATATTACAAAAATAAAACAACGCAAATATGACTAAATATGACATTAAAAGTCTAAAAGTCACTCGTTTTTATAAAGTAACACTATCCAACAGCGACACCCGCAGGTAAAGTTAGAGTGGAGGCTTGCCTCCCTTCGGTCCATAGACTTTCTACAGAGACCCTAAAGTGTGCCGTGACTTTTCTGGAGGCTCACTGAGATGAATGGGGGAAAGTCACGTGAGAGGAGGCAATGCATCCGTCGCGCTATAATTGGATATGATCGGTTATGATTGGATGTGATTGGTTCGTGTGATAAATCTACACTAACTCCGCCCATCAACGTGTGAATACAAAGCATTACAAAAGAGTAACGTCTAATAACAGCTCCAGTGGCGCAGATGGTAAAGTACATGTTGAAGTCGTTTTTGACGCGATCGACCGGGGTTCGAATCGCGTTTTGCCAAACTTTTTTTCTACTTTTTCAAATCAGATATCACGTCGTTGTTATTGTTATTATTGCATACTGTTTTATAATGTACTACAATACTGAGGTGCAGATAATTGTCACTATCTACAATAAGTAGTATAAATAGCAGAAAATCCTGCTAGGTGTAAATAGAATCTATAGCTATTTGCACTTAGTGTAAACATTAAGTGTAACAAGGACATGATAGATATATATATATATATATACACAGTATATACAGTATAACTGCCTCATTTTATAACACCACCACACGCCACTGGTATATACACACCAGTGTTTCAAAGTTAGGGGTCAGTGCGACTTATTTTCTTAATGAAATTAATACTTTTATTCATCAAGGATGCATTAAATTAACCAGAAGTGTCAGTAAAGAAGATCTTTCTGAAGATCATGTGACACTGAAGACTGGAGTAATGATGCTGAAAATACAGCTGCGCATCACAGGATTTGTCCAGGGACGAATTTTAACCCCAGTCCAGCCCTGTACCGTCACTATGCAACAAATAATGGTGTGGATTATCAATTACTCCACCGTCCTCGCTCCGTTCCCACGGCTCTCGGCCCCGCCCCCACTCGTCACAGCGACAAAATACTATAGAAACCATTATAATCGGTGATGCGGTCTACACTGGATGTGGCACAGCACAGCACGACAAATCCCCGACAGTAAACTGATGCCTCGTTCTATTTATGACGTAGGCCTACTGTTTGACAAAGTACAATTGATTTGCAATGGTCACTTTGTCGCATCCAGTGTGGACAGCCTTAAGCTGTTGGCTTACCTCTGGCCTTTTTTTCATAATTTATTTGTTTAATTTTTTTGGCTAGTAGAAATTATGAATGGCCGGTAACTTAAAAATGTAGTAGTCAAATTGGCTGGTGAGTGAAAAAGTTAATTTCAAAACCTTATATATATATATATACAGTATATATAACTGCCTCCTCATTTTAAAACACCACCGCACGCCACTGATTTAGATACATGCGAAGCCATGTGACAAAAAAAATAGCCTACTGTTTCTGTTCAGGGTTTTCCTCCTGAAATCTATACTATTTTAATATTTTAATTAATAACCGTATCTAGCCCACTAAAAACAATGTAGCTACAATAATCAAAACGTTCTCATCTTCAGCAGAAAAGAAAGATAACTAACAGTTTCAAAGTTTAAGTTCTATCCTAGCCATCTAACAACAAATTTCCCAATTATAATTAGGCCTACATATATATTTTAAATGTTCTTAGCCTACAGATGAATAAAGCTAAATGTAGATCAGAAAGGTCTTGTCACATCTGGTTTGAATAGTCAGAGTCATAGGTTATAGATAACTGTGTTATCCGCAGCTCTTGAACTTGGCGCCGGCGTGCGTCCGCCGAAAAAAAGACAGAAAGCGCACGGAGCTGAAAGGGCTTGAATAAAGCGCGTTTGGCTTTAGATAAAAATACTAGAGGATATAGCGCTGAAAGATATTTACCATAAACA